TCTGTTTTCAGGCAAAATGTCTATCACTGTTCATTTTCACAAATCTATACAAGAGGGCAGAATATGGAAGTCTATAAAAATTTCTTATTACCAATAACTTGCATCAATGTTTTCAGTAGCCTCTATCAAAAGCTCATGCTTGCTTGTTGTGAATTATGCTCAGGTGCACATATTTCCAATTCAACCATGAGGCAAAAAATGTGGTAAAAGCTCTTGTTGATCCTGCAATCTGAACAAATACCAAGATGTTGTATTTTCAGCTGATATTTCATTTGTTTATGGAAATGCATATTGTTTATGCAGTGTTGAGGAATGTGAAAGAACACCCTTGATAATTTTTACTGTGATAACTTATTTTGCTTTTGTAAGCCAACACTTTTGAGATCAGTCAATAAATGCTTCTGGCATTGACTTATATGCTGCCCCTGTCTTCATGTTGTTGCTGGACATATATTTTTTTAAATGTGTGTAGGTCACCTAAATCATCAGAAAAATTGCCCCCCCTGAGAATTTTTTCAGGAGCCGCCACTGATTCCAGGTGAAGCTGGTTGAGAGAATGCCAAGAGTGTGCAAAGCTGTCATCAAGGCAAAGGGTGGCTACTTTGAAGAATCTCAAATATAAAATGTATTTTGATTTGTTTACACTTTTTTGGTGGCGCAGTGGTCTAAGGCACTGCATCGCAGTGCTAACTGTGCCACTAGAGATCCTGGTTCGAATCCAGGCTCTGTCGCAGCCGGACGCGACCGGGAGACTCATGGGCGGCGCACAATTGGCCCAGCGTCGTCCAGGGTAGGGGAGGGAATGGCCGGCAGGGTTGTGGGTTCGATTCCCACGGGGGGCCAGTATAAAAAAATATATATGTATTCACTAACTGTAAGTCGCTCTGGATAAGAGCGTCTGCTAAATGACTAAAATGTAAAATGTAAATGTTATTTCATAGTTTTGATGTCTTCACCATTATTCTACAATGTCCAAACTTTTGACTGTTACTGTATACACACATACAGTATATACACACACATACACATATATGTCCCCCCCCCCACTTCTAAAACCAAAGTTGCACCCCTGGTTTCCAAGTCATTTCAATGAAATGACGTTGAACCAACTTAGAATAGACGTTGAATTGACGTCTGTGCCCAGCGGGTTGTCTATACTGTAATGCCATTTTAATGATGCCTGTGGTCCTGCTTTGTTTATGGTGTTTCTATCAGTCACTAACTGAAAGTAATGTTAAATCAACCACAGTAAGAGTACTTATACTTTTATTTCCAGTAATGCAAAAATAGCCAAGGTCAGCAATATGCATGTTCTTTATATTTTGGTTTGACATGGTAATAAAACATGATTATTATGTAAAACTACACAACCAAGTCGCTAGTCAAAAATCACATCGGATTAAAACTGATTATTTGATTTCAGTATTCATACAGTTGAAGTTGGAAGTTTACATACACTTAGGTTGGAGTCATTAAAACTCGTTTTTCAACCACTCCACACATTTCTTGTTAACAAACTATAGTTTTGGCAAGTCGGTTAGGACATCTACTTTGCGCATGACACAAGTCATTTTTCCAACAATTGTTTACAGACAGATTATTTCACTTATAATTCACTGTATCACAATTCCAGTGGGTCAGAAGTTTACATACACTAAGTTGACTGTGCCTTTAAACAGCTTGGAAAATTCCAGAAAATGATGTCATGGCTTTAGAAGCTTCTGATAGGCTAATTGACATCATTTGAGTCAATTGGAGGTGTATCTGTGGATGTATTTCAAGGCCTACCTTCAAACTCAGTGCCTCTTTGCTTGACATCATGGGAAAATCAAAAGAAATCAGCCAAGACCTCATAAAAAAGAATGTAGACCTCCACAAGTCTGGTTCAACCTTGAGAGCAATTTCCAAATGCCTGAAGGTACCACGTTCATCTGTACAAACAATAGTACGCAAGTATAAATACCATGGGACCACGCAGCCGTCATACCGCTCAAGAAGGAGACGCGTTCTGTCTCCTAGAGATGAACGTACTTTGGTGCGAAAAGTGCAAATCAACAATCCCAGAACAACAGCAAAGGACCTTGTGAAGATGCTGGAGGAAACAGGTACAAAAGTATCTATATCCACAGTAAAATTAGTCCTATATCGACATAACCTGAAAGGCCGCTCAGCAAGGAAGAAGTCACTGCTCCAAAACAGCCGTAAAAAAGCCAGACTATGGTTTGCAACTGCACATGGGGACAAATATCGTACTTTTTGGAGAAATGTCCTCTAGTCTGATGAAACAAAAATAGAACTGTTTGGCCATAATGACCATCGTTATGTTTGGAGGAAAAAGGGGGTCCCTTGCAAGCCGAAGAACACCATCCCAACAGTGAAGCACGGGGGTGGCAGCATCATGCTGTGGGTGTGCTTTGCTGCAGGAGGGACTTGTGCACTTCAGAAAATAGCTGGCATCATGAGGAAGGAAAATGATATGGATATATTGAAGCAACATCTCAAGACATCAGTCAGGAAGTTAAAGCTTGGTCGCAAATGGGTCTTCCAAATGGACAATGACCCCAAGCATACTTCCAAAGTTGTGGCAAAATGGCTTAAGGACAACAAAGTCAAGGTATTGGAGTGGCCATCACAAAGCCCTGACCTCAATCCTATAGAAAGTTTGTGGGCAGAACTGAAAAAGCGTGTGCGAGCAAGGAGGCCTACAAACCTGACTCAGTTACACCAGCTCTGTCAGGGGGAATGGGCCAAAATTCATCTAACTTATTGTGGGAAGCTTGTGGAACCTGAAACGTTTGACCCAAGTTAAACAATTTAAAGGCAATGCTACCAAATACTAATTGAGTGTATGTAATTGAACTTCTGACCCACTGGGAATGTGATGAAATAAATAATTCTCTCTACTGTTATTCTGACATTTCACATTCTTAAAATAAAGTGGTGATCCTAACTGACCTAAAACAGCAAATTTTTACTAGGATTAAATATCAGGAATTGTGAAAAACTGATTTTAAATGTATTTGGCTAAGGTGTATGTAAACTTCCGACTGCAACTGTATGTCAACTCTGAGCTTCTTTGTTAACATCTGATACACAATGAAAAAGTGGAATTGAAAAAAACAAAAACATTTTCAACTCCTCACAACCTTGCACTTTCAATACTGTAAGTAATATGGCTAAACAAGCATAGTCGCATCGTATTGCAGTCCATGGTAATATCACTCAGAGAATGCACATAACCTTGTACACTTTAGCAAAGTGCTACTGTCAATACACAGCATGCCCTTAAGTCCTTAATGGGGTCAGTACCTTTAGTTACATTGTGTGACAATCAATCACAATAAATGCCTGATTGGAAAATAACCCCTTAGCCCCTTCCCCTAGCCCCTACCCTTCAGTGTTACAGATCTGAAGGGACTGGATACTATGGGTTCTATGATCAGGTAATCCACTATACAATCTCTGTAATTGGTATAAACTTGAGGTAATAATGTATAAGACAGGGGTGACTCGGACTCAGGATGTGTGTGAGGGGTTATCTATCATATACATTCACCTCTGCAAGTGTTCGGCACCATAGCATGTACTGTAGCATGTATGCTATCGCTAAATATACTATGGAGTTGTCCAGAGCCCTTCATTTGCATAACATTCAAAGATTTACATTACCACATATGCATAATGTATAATTACATAAACAACTATAAGCTCAACATTCATGTAAATCAATACCCAAAGATGTATATAAATCGAGGGCTCAAAAGGCAACAGCATATAAGGAAAGTATGTGCCATGGCTGTGGCATCACAATCCCTATGGCTGAAGCTCAAATGGCACCCTATTCCCCATACAGTACACTACTTTTGTCCAGAGCCCTATGCACTGTAGCTATGGGGAATAGGGTCCCATTTGAGACCCAAGGGGTCAGACAGAGTCATGTTGGGGGTCATAGGGATGGAGGTAGTAGTGGCACGCGGCCTTCAGTTACAGTCTGTGTTTCAGAGCCCTGTTCTGGGGCCAGAATGAGGTAGAAAAGGACTAAACAGAGGTCATAATACAGATCAGGAAGTATACACTAAGTCAAATGTATGATTTCCTTGGAATACACACGGAACAGCTAAATTATTCCAATGGTTTTGTTCCAGTTCCATTCATTGGTATTTCCATGTGGCTCTCTGTGAGTGAGTAGCAATACAGTACTCATCTACTACGTCCTTTAAGACCCAGTGCAGTCAAAAATGTGATTTTCCTGTGTTTTATATATATTTCCACACTATGAGATTGGAGTAAAACTGTGAAATTATAAAACATTAGGATAATGCCCTTTTAGTGTAAGAGCTGTTTTAAAAGAACGACTGAAATTTCAGCCTGTTTTGGTGGGATGGAGTTTTGGCAAGCCAAGTGTCAACACCAGGCGGTAAATTAGTTAATAAACCAATAAGAAAGAATTCCAATCCTCTCTGTCAATAACAGCTAGTTTTCCGTTTTTCCCTCCCAACTCAGACCACTCCCAGACAGTCTTAGCAAACTTCTTGCTTGAGAATTGGCTCTTGGCTAAGATATTTTTATTTATTTTGACTATTTTAATTGAAAACAATGATAGTAAGGTACTTAATTGTTACCCAGAAATGATTTCATATTGAGATAAAAACGGCTTCATTAGACGTTTAAAGCTGCAATATGGAACATTTTGGGCAACCCACCAAATTCACATAGAATTGTGAGTTATTATACCTGTCATTCTCATTGAAAGCAAGTCTAAGAAGCGATAGATCTGTGTTATGTGCACTATTCCCATTCTTAAGTGTCGTTTTTGTGTCTTTTACTTTTGGTTTGGTACACCAGCTTCAAACAGCTGAAACTACCATATTTTTGGTTATTGAAAATATATTTCACACTGGTTTGGATGGTACAATGATTCTCTACACTGCTTGCTTCGTCACATAAACTGAAAAGAAACTGAAACGATTAGAATTTTAGCAACCAGGACATGGCGGAGCGATTTCTGCATATTGCACCTTTAAGAATTATGACATCACTGGCTAATCCCTCTCCATCTTGTTCTAGGTCCCAGCCAGGCTCCTCTTCCAGGATCCTGTGTGTCCCAGGCTTCTGTTCCTCACTGCCCAGGGATGTATGGCCAGCTGATGGAGCTCCCAGACAGCTGCATGTCCCTGATGAGGGTCTCGATGGGGGTCTTGCCCACCAGGCGCATGAAGAACAGCTGGGAGATGAGATTAGCGGGCACGGCCCTGAGGGCAGGCAGGCGGAGGAGAATACGGCCAAAGCGCTGTGGCTGACCCGGGTACTGCATCCTCTCGTACTCCGTCAGAGCCATCTGGGCCTTCTCCTGCAGAGACTCCACGTGGACGGGGTCTGTCAAACCGCACGCATCTGAAGAGGACATCACAGGACACACAGACGGACTTAAGCATTGACTTAAGGTCAAATCAGAAGTGCAGAAATGGTCAGCGCTATAGTGCAGAACACAGGCAGGAGCTATTGTATTGGAAGAGAATACGACTTCTCAAACAACTTGACATCAATGAGACATGCTGCTTGAAAGGTCAGTTGTGCTTCTGCAGAGGTGTATGTCAATATTTATTATATGGACAGAGATATAACGCTTTAAAAAGCTGTTCATATGAGAAATGTTGACCTACAGGCTGAACTTTACATCAGCATGACTCATTTGTCTAGATTGGAATACTAGTCATGGATTTTCTGGGAGTAAAGGAAAACTCATTCTAAAGCTATGAGCCTGGGCCTGTATCCCACTTCCTCCCATATTCTTGCTTTCTAATCTGAGTGCAAGCAAGAATTATAATGCTTTCTAGGAATCAATTCAGCATTAGTATTCCTAGGGGATTGTGAATAGTGATGCACTGCAGTATATCAGTATTTCTAGTAAGAAGGGTGACATTTTGAAAACGGAGCCAAAAGAACCCGGCCAGAGTGACTCACTATGAACATTAAAACCAGCAGGGTAGCAGCCTGTTAGGACAAGGTGTTGTATTTCTAAGGTGTAGGGGTTTTGGTTTGGACCAGAGAGTAACGACCGACCAGTACACTGACCTGGAGAGAAGAGGGCGATGGCCTTGAGGCAGCTGTACTCTGCTGAGTCCACCTGGAGCCGGGTCAGCTTGTCCACCTGGTCCTGGAACAACCTCACCTGGTCCATGAAGGACACCACCCTCTCTGCCGACATAGGCTGGGAGTGGAAGCCGGCCGCGGCCAGCAGAGGAGCCATGTGTAGCGGCAGGGCGGACTGGGCTGCATTCAGGATGAACAGCTCGCTCCAGCTCAGTCTCAGCAGAGCCACCTGCTCAGAGATAGGCAGCTCAGGGAAGTAGGGGATGTTCCTGGCCCACTCGATGGTGCTGAAGAGGAGGCGTGCCGCCAGCTCGCAGATGTTGTCGATGCCCATGACAGAGCCTCCTCCAGCGCCCTGCATCTGCTGCTGCTGGCCGTACTGGGGTCCGTAGCGGCTGCTGGGGTAGGGCTCGGCGCGGAGCAGCTGGGAGATGAGCTCTGACACGGGCTGGCCGTTGAAGAATTCGCCCCCTACTGGCCCAGCCCCCGTACCGCCACCTCCGCCGACCAGAGAAGTGGGACTGACGCCTGGGTGGGATGGAGGGATACGTCCACGCTGGACTGCTGGAGGGAAGAGAGAGAGGGAGGAGAGGGGAAGAGGGGGAGAGAAAGGGCTTGTAGAGGTTGTAGAGGCTAATGCAAAACACGCTGGCAAGCTAAAGTTTAGCATTCAACATAACAGGTGTTTGTTGACGGAAAAGTAGGCTGAAAAGTAGCCCTTTAACGCCCGATGTTACATATACCTAACAGTGTCTTTAAACACCTGGTAACGTGTCTGTACGCGATCAAAACATCAAAAAACACCACACACCAGACTCTATCTGGTGGCCGATCATTGTAATTACCAAACCGGAAATCGTCACTCAAAATGGCATGCCTCCGAATCTTGTCAACACGGCAGTTCTGCTCCCCCGAAACAGTCTCGTAAAAGGTGAGTTTCTGAAATTCAATGCATGCAAAATGCTCATTAGCTGTCCAGAGACGCTTGAGTAAAATTTCTAAGAACAATATTCATTTTTGGTGAAGTATAGAACACTCGAAAAAGTCACGTTGCGTATATGTACATTGGGCGTTAAGTGATGCAAACCACACATTTTATGATGCTTTATATAAAATTACATTGTGTGTATATCACGTCAAATAATGAAAACGTACACCCAGAGTCTGGATCTCTTTATTAAACATATATTTGAGTGTTAGGCGACCAATTTGCAAAAAAGTGAGCAAACTGCCCATCTTAACGGTAACATATATAATAGACACCAATGATAGTCGGGCGTTTTGAATACTGCAGCTAGCGTTTGCATGATATGCAATGCATTTTCAGACTGGTTTAACAATGACCATTTTCTCTAAAGTATTGTTTGTGTGTTAATATTTGCATGGAGTGAGCATTGTGTGTATACTGGCTGTACTTCATACATGAAACATGTATAATATGATGCTGCTTTTATTACTTGGGTTTCAGAAATAATGAGTTAGATTTCATGCCTGTTGTTACATATACACTATATATACAAAAGTATGTGGACAACCCTTCAAATTATAGTGGATTCGGCTATTTCAGCCACACCCGTTGCTGACAGGTGTATAAAATCGAGCACACAGCCATGCAATCTCCATAGACAAACATTGGCAGTAGAATGGCCTGTACTGAAGAGCTCAGTGACTTTCAACGTGGCAACGTCATTGGATGCCACCTTTCCAAAAAGTCAGTTCGTCATATTTCTGCCCTGCTAGAGCTGCCCCGGTCAACTGTAAGTGCTGTTATTGTGAAGTGGAAACGTCTAGGAGCAACAACAGCTCAGCCGCGAAGCTCACAGAACGGGACCGCTGAAGCACGTAGCTTGTAAAAATCGTCTGTCCTCGGTTGCAACACTTACTACCGAGTTCCAAACTGCCTCTGGAAGCAACGTCAGCACAATAACTGTTCATCGGGATCTTCATGAAATGGGTTACCATGGCCGAGCAGCTGCACACAAGCCTAAGATCACCATGAGCAATGCCAAGTGTCGGCTGTAGTGATGTAAAGCTCACCGCCATTGGACTCTGGAGCAGTGGAAACGCGTTCTCTGGAGTGATGAATCACGCTTCACCATCTGGCAGTCCGACAAACGAATCAGAGTTTTGCAGATGCCAGGAGAAATCTACCTGCCCCAATGCATAGTGCCAACTGTAAAGTTTGGTGGAGGAGGAATAATGGTCTGGGGCTGTTTTTCATGGTTCGGGCTAGGCCCCTTAGTTCCCGTGAAGGGCAATCTTAATGCTACAGCATACAATGACATTCTAGACAATTCTGTGCTTCCAACTTTGTTGCAACAGTTTGGGGAAGGCCCTTTACTGTTTCAGCATGACAATGCCCCCGTGCACAAAGCGAAGTCCATACAGAAATGTTTTGCCGAGATCGGTGTAGAAGAACTTGACTGGCCTGCACAGAGCCCTGACCTCAACCCCATCAAACACCTAATGCCTAATCGCCCAACATCAGTTCCCGACCTAACTAATGCTCTTGTGGCTGAATGGAAGCAAGTCCCAGCAGCAATGTTCCAACATCTAGTGGAAAGCCTTCCCAGAAGAGTGGAGGCTGTTAAAGCAGCAAAGGGGGACCAACTCCATATTAATGCCCATGATTTTGGAATGAGATGTTCGATAAGCAAGTGTCCACATACTTCTGGTCATGTAGTGTATGTAACATTGCATAACTATTGCTAGGAGTGTAGATGATTATTTAGGGTCTCCTTGGGCAGTCCTAATCACGGCTTAATTTTCATGCACTGAAAACTGGGTCCGGGTTTCTAAAGGCTGGTCTGGTGGTAATCTGTCACTTCTTCAGCTAACTGGTCCGTGTCTTGGCAAGGCAACAATGTAGCATTGTTGATAGCAGAAACAGTCAGGTACCAGTGCTATGCTTACTCCGTCTAACAACCAGTTAGTTGGACATTTGTGAATTATTCAAAGTTTCAGACAATTTCATACCATTTCACTGCTAGCCTAGGCAGTCTGTTATTGCTATACCCAACTTGTTGTCTTGCTAAACTAGTTCAATACAGAGTCTGTCAAACTACCAAAGCTAGGCCACGGTTAGCTGTTAGACATTTTGCCAGTATGTGTCTGACTTGTCATTGCAGTGTTATTGACTACACACAACAGTCATGTAGTAAAGTAGACCACTACTATTCCTGGTGAACAGTGACCCGTTACCCGGAGAAGGTGATCCAAGCGTTTCCAGGTCATGTGGAAACACTGTGGCCTGGCTGCGTCAGTGCAGTCATTGGGTCACTCAGACCCCTGCATGACTATCCTTGCTGAATATAGCTCTGGGCTGGTGCCAGCTCAATGCAGAATAAATATGACACCTATGGGCTGGCTGCCTGGGTTATTCAACTTATGTACTGCTTGGCAAATGCCTCTGCCACAAGGGCCTGAATGATACATACTACGTAGCGAGGATACTTAGAGTAGGGGTCAGGAGTGTGTTGGTTAGACTGAGGGCAAATAAGGATAGAGCTAAACTGGATTTACAAATACTATAGTTACATGAATGAAATGAAGTTTAAATTCAAAATACCACAATAATAATTTGGTGGGTGCTTATATTTGTCCTATTTCACAGAAGTGTGTATTATACGCATGTGTGAATTGGAAATGACCGTGACCCCAATCACCCTCGGAGAGTAGGGCCACGGTCTGCCATTATCAACGGCAACCCTGGAGCAATTAGGGTTAAGTGCCTTGCTCAAGGGCACATCTACATACAGTGAGGGAAAAAAGTATTTGATCCCCTGCTGATTTTGTACGTTTGCCCACTGACAAAGAAATGATCAGTCTATAATTTTAATGGTAGTTTTATTTGAACAGTGAGAGACAGAATAACAACAACAAAATCCAGAAAAACGCATGTCAAAAATGTTATAAATTGATTTGCATTTGAATGAGGGAAATAAGTATTTGTCCCTCTCTCAATCAGAAACATTTCATTTCTGGCTCCCAGGTGTCACTCTTAAAGGGAGTGCTCCTAATCTCAGTTTGTTACCTGTATAAAAGACACCTGTCCACAGAAGCAATCAATCAATCAGATTCCAAACTCTCCACCACAGCCAAGATCAAAGAGCTCTCCAAGGATGTCAGGGAAAAGATTGTAGACCTACACAAGGCTGGAATGGGCTACAAGACCATCTCCAAGCAGCTTGGTGAGAAGGTGACAACAGTTGGTGCGATTATTCGCAAATGGAAGAAACACAAAATAACTGTCAATCTCCCTCGACCTGGGGCTCCATGCAAGATCTCACCTAGTGGATTTGCAATGATCATGAGAACGGTGAGGATTCAGCCCAGAACTACACGGAAGGATCTTGTCAATGATCTCAAGACAGCTGGGACCATAGTCACCAAGAAAACAATTGGTAACACACTACGCAGTGAAGGACTGAAATCCTGCAGCGCCCGCAAGGTCCCCCTGCTCAAGAAAGCACATATACAGGCCCATCTGAAGTTTGCCAAAGAACATCTGAATGATTCAGAGGAGAACTGGGTGAAAGTGTTGTGGTCAGATGAGACCAAAATCGAGGTCTTTGGCATCAACTCAACTCGCCGTGTTTGGAGGAGGAGGAATGCTGCCTATGACCCCAAGAACACCATCCCCACCGTCAAACATGGAGGTGGAAACATTATGCTTTGGGGGTGTTTTTCTGCTAAGGGGACAGGACAACTTCACCGCATCAAAGGGACGATGGACGGGGCAATGTACCGTCAAATCTTGGGTGAGAACCTCCTTCCCTCAGCCAGGGCATTGAAAATGGGTCGTGGATGGGTATTCCAGCATGACAATGACCCAAAACACACGGCCAAGGCAACAAAGGAGTGGCTCAAGAAGAAGCACATTAAGGTCCTGGAGTAGCCTAGCCAGTCTCCAGAACTTAATCCCATAGAAAATCTGTGGAGGGAGCTGAAGGTTTGAGTTGCCAAATGTCAGCCTCGAAACCTTAATGACTTGGAGAAGATCTGCAAAGAGGAGTGGGAAAAAATCCCTCCTGAGATGTGTGCAAACCTGGTGGCCAACTACAAGAAACATCTGACCTCTGTGATTGCCAACAAGGGTTTTGCCACCAAGTACTATGTCATGTTTTGCAGAGGGGTCAAATACTTATGTCCCTCATTAAAATGCAAATCAATTTATAACATTTTTGACATGCGTTTTTCTGGATTTTTTTTTTGTTATTCTGTCTCACACTGTTCAAATAAACCTGCCATTAAAATTATAGACTGATCATTTCTTTGTCAGTGGGCAAACGTACAAAATCAGCAGGGGATCAAATACTTTTTTCCCTCACTGTATTTTTCACCTTGTCAACTCGGGGATTCGAACTTGCGACCTTCCGTTTGCTGGCCCAACGCTCTAATGTTCTAACCGCTAAGCTACCTGCCAAACCGATATATGAAACTCTGAAACTGTTTTCTTCACCTTTTAAAATCAAGCTTGCTGTATCTTACAGTGTAAATATTTTGGCCAACTGACAGTTGTGAAATATCAGCTCTGTTTATCATGGCAGGGGCATGTTTTTGTAGAACGATGTAGTGCTGCTGTCAGTTATGGTATATGGAACATTGGATTGGCAGTATCTCTGCCTCTGCTTTAGGCATCGTCTGAGTGTCAGAGATGTTGTGCAACAGGTAAGATAGTATAGTTACCTTCTTTGCGCATGCCAACACGGAAGCATTTCTTCAGCCGGCAGTATTGGCACTGGTTGCGGTGATGCTGGTCTATCTGGCATTCTCGATTCGACCTGCACAACAGAACATTAGACATAGAATGGATTATCCTCATCTCTCTCTCTCATGAATTAATGATCTTACAGAGTGGCTGCTCTGGCTGTGTGAAAGGAGTCATAGGCTGGAACATAAATGGTTTTGTGGAGTGCAGACAGAATACAAATGCTCTATGCTTCTCTGTATAGGTATATATAGCTGTATAGGTCTGTAAAGCTTTCAAACATCGCTACCTGTCCTGTATGATTCACAATTTATGAAACAGATTGAGAGCATTGTAACTACTGTGTACACTGTACAGTAACGGATAAATAGTTTTGATTGAATACGGCCCTTAGATAGTTAACAATAAACAAAGGCTCACATTCCTCAGAAGTGTAATATGGTAGTACTGTAAGATATTTTACTGACTGTAAACTAGGTTGAAGTGGGAAAGGCGCATTTGTATGGTTCTGATACAAAATAAGTCTGTTTGCCATGTGTATATTATATACCTGAAAATATATATTTTTTTACTTGAGTTAAAGCTGTAACACAAAGAGGAATCCCCAAGGGAAATAGTATCTAACAAGTTACAGGGTCTATAAGCATGCTGTACATATGATATGACCATCAAGAATAGGAATTTTAGGGATCCATTACAGTAGCCTATGTACACAGTAACCTTTGACATTAACTTGTGTGTTTCCTAGACTGCCTTTTTTAAATGATGTTGTTTTTCACATTAACATATTTTCTTGATATTTTACAGAGCGGCTTCACCTACCTGCAGGAGTAGTTGAGGTTCCTTCTGATGCTCCTCTTGAAGAAGCTCTTGCAGCCCTCGCAGGTGAACACCCCGTAGTGTTTGCCGCTGGACTTGTCCCCACATACCACACAGTCCACCACGCATGCCTTGTCCTCGTCTCCCACCTCCACATCACTCCCGGCCTGGGGTGAGCCCTCCTCCTCATCCCCACGCAGGTAAGCCTTCTCCCGCCCCAGTCCGTTGGTCTCCCCGTTAGGGTTGCCCCATCCCCCGCTCACCATGGCCATATCTGAGCGACACGGCCGACACACACAAAGAGGTATTGGTTTTTAGTCAGCTTCCAGGCAAAATTGACAGCGTTATGGAAAGTCAAAACAACAGAAACTGCACAGCATGTTCCAGACTCCTTCTTTTGACCTCTTTCCCCTTCTGTCTCCGTCAAATGACCCGGAGGTCCCTCTCACTGCTCTATTTCTCTACCGTGGCGCTGTCCTCCGACCTCTCACTCTCTTGTTCTTCTCCTTCACTCCTCTGTTTTTCCTGTGACCCCTAGACAATGACTCCTCCTGAAAGTTCTGACACAACAAGCGGTTCAGAGTTCAGGAGGGAGAAAAGGGTGCAGCCTGCCCTTCACAGAAAACAATAAATTACACAGAGGCTCAGGCTCTCTCTCGCACTTACTCGGTCTCTCTCACTTCCACCACACTAGGCGGAGGGTCGATGAGGGGTAAAATAGAGCCTGTCTTCATTTTCTCTCCTTACACCACGCTACTTTCACCCTGGACTAGCAGAGCAGGAAGAAAAGGACTGCTCTCCTTCAAACAGCCCGACTTACTTTACCCTGCTTACAAAACTAGTCGGACCAGTTCTGGGCTGTGTGTAGAAAGTGTTATCTATCAATCTTACAGGCAGCAGCACCGTTTTAGCTTGGCAAGAACTAATGATGGACAAGGAGCTCGAATTTGTGTGAAGAATTTCTTATACGTATGTGCCACAAGCAGATATTCAGAAAATCTTGGAAATGAAATGCTGTCATTCAACCCCCATAGAAGGTTGTTACAAAAACGTTTATAAACAGCACTTTTTGTTTCATTAGCTTGGCAGCACTATTCTATCCCCCCAGACAGACAGCCAATAGTCAGAGTTGATAGACAAATCCAGGGAACGAACAGACTGAATCTAAAGGCTCGCTATTTAGAACACAGATTTTAAATAGATAATGATAGACACCCACAGCTCCCTCTGGTCCTGCTAGTTCAAAGTGCAGTGACGTCCCCTCTCTCGCTCTGTTCCTTGCTCTGTTACTTGTTGTGAAACAGCGTCTGCTTCTTGTTCCTCTCCTGCTCCCAGAGATCTTCAATAGTTCAAATGACCAGAAAAAAAAACAGACAAGAGTGGAGAAAAGGAGGGAAACCCTCTCTCTATTAGCCCTTAGACAGAATGGGAGCACCTCTCAGCAAGCCTCCCCTCGTCCCTCTCTCTCCGTTTATCTTTCTCTCCCTCCCTTGTTTTGTCAGTGCTTGTCCATCCAGCAGTAATGACTTCAGACCTAAGCCTCGCTGCATTCCCGTAAGCACGGTCACGGTGTACAATTGCAGTTTTTTATTGTTTTGTCCCCTTCCCTTCTTTCTCCTCTTCTCTGGCCCCGTCTTGAATAAATTAGGCAAACCAGCCGAGGAAAAACACGGTCACAGACGATAGCCAACGCTAGCTGTTGCTGTGGATCTGCAGTCTAACACAGCCTCTTCTGCTGCTCTTCTCTCTCTCTCTCTCTCTCTCTCTCTCTCTCTCTCTCTCTGTCTCACTCTCTGTCTCTCCCCCCTTCCTTTTGCCCAGAGAGGGAGTAGGAGAGAGAGAGCATGCTCAGGGATTTGGCACTACTATTCAAACCCTCTGGTTGCCATGGCACACCCTGCCTTATAAGGCCATTGGAGTCAAAGAGCAGAGAGTGGGGTGCGGAGGGAGCGACACTGGAGGGCTCTCTCTCTCCACTCTACATGCACACACTCGCGCACATACACACAGAATGCTGCTGCCTGCTTGCCCATTTCTCTAACTGACCCCATGCCTGCCTCCCAGCACTAGGGAGTTAACTGCAAAACTGCCAGCAGACAAAGGGGCGCTGCTGGCCAACACACCAGGCAGATGGCAGTACTTTTTACTCCAGCTTCATGTTCTTCTCTCTAATCCACCTGGCTGACTTCCTCTGATTCTGTTGACCCCATAATAGCAGGGAGGGGTTTGTTGTTGAAGGACTTGGTTAAAGTTTACATGCTCTATTTTGGCCTCTTTTTTCCGATTTTCGGACACTTTAGTCAAATAGGGACACCTGTTTGGCTGTGTCTTGTGGACAGGTTATTTAAAATAAAGGGGAAGTATGGAGTGCTCATGTTAACATATGATTGGTACATATATAATTATAATAGTATAATAAAGTCTAACATGCAACAATTGTGTTGGTAACGCTTGATCTTGTGTGCATTGTCTTATCTAACATTGTACCTTAATTAGTTAACTTCCCATTTCTTCCAAAGCTAGCAACTGTATGGTTAACAAAAATGTTGCGTGTGCGTGTGTGATTGCGTGCATGAGCATGCCAACAACATTGTCAGGTGAAGGTCTCCTGAAAAAGAGAGGAGAAAAAAACACAGAGGGACCCTGCAGCCAAGGAGTCAGATAACAACCTAACAGCCTTCATATTACAGAACAACCTAACAGCCTTCATATTACAGAACAACCTAACAGCCTTCATATTACAGAACAACCTGGCAGCCTTCATATTACAGAACAACCTAACAGCCTTCATATTACAGAACAACCTGGCAGCCTTCATATTACAGAACAACCTGGCAGCCTTCATATTACATAACAACCTGACAGCCTTCATATTACAGAACAACCTGGCAGCCTTCATATTACAGAACAACCTAACAGCCTTCATATTACAGAACAACCTGGCAGCCTTCATATTACAGAACAACCTGGCAGCCTTCATATTACAGAACAACCTGGCAGCCTTCATATTACAGAACAACCTGGCAGCCTTCATATTACAGAACAACCTGGCAGCCTTCATATTACAGAACAACCTGGCAGCCTTCATATTACAGAATAACCTGACAGCCTTCATATTACAGAACAACCTGGCAGCCTTCAAGTCACAGAATATAACAGCCTTCACTGCTGCTCTGATGTCACACTACTTCAAAGACCTTCTATGGACCAGTATTCTATGGTCCAACACTATACAGTATGTATTGGCTTGACTGATGTTATATGCACTGCATCCCCCTATTTGGACAACAATCTGGTCTTGCATGATTTCTTTGTAAAGGAGGAGGTGTGAGTGGGAGTGAGTGTCTATTTACCTCTGTTGTCTTTTTGCAAGAGAATGTGTGCATTTGCATGCGTGTGTGCATGTGTTCATGCGCTAATGTGTGTGACTCTCTGCGTGTGTGTGTATGCAATCGCGTGTGCATGTGTTCAAGTGCTCGTGCGCTCATGTGTGCGACTGTGTGTGGGAGTCCCTTGCTCTTTGAACTGTAGATCAGGAATGCCGTTGCTCTGCATGAAGTCTGCTGAGATGGGGTCTGTACATTCTCAACACAGCCAGAAGCCCAATACAGAGTGGAGCAGAGTGAAGCACAGATACAGCATGCAGTAACTGTCCCTAAGCCTATCAGCCTCCACTATGTTGACCTGATCCCTATATATCAAACACACACACACACACAACTTAAAGCAGGCTACACCTGAATATCGGTATCCAAAAGAACAAACTCCTAAATCAAGAAGTTCTGTATTTGACCCAGGTCTGGTATTTTGACCGTGCTAGTGAATGTGTTGAGGGTGTGAAGGAATTTGGCCAGTGGGTTTAAATTTTTACCCTGTTTGTGACTGACTCTCTGACTGTGTGAACGGCAGCACATGACTCCCAGCACCGCTTGCCCATTAGTGCCACTAACCTTTGGCCCACAACTCATTCTCTCACTTGCTCTCTCTCTGTCTCTTCCCTTCTCTAATTCAGTAATTATATCATTCTCTATTTCTATCCTGCTCTCATTATCTCCTTTTCTCATTCTCTCCTTTCCTATTTCTGTCTTTCACGATCTCTCTCCTCACTCATTCTCTCCTTCGCTTACTCATTCTCATTCTCATTCTCTCAGCACTGCGGGGCCTTTTGACCTTAGCTGAATGACGGAGCAGCATAAAATAAACAGGCCAGTGGAACCTGCCTCAGAAAAACATCTGCTGGTTGGCAACACATAACACACAACGCTTTCGGTCCAATCAATATTTACCCACTCTCTCCTCCCTCCCTCCTCCACAAGACCTGCTGTATGTTGTTGGAAAATAGATCTATATCTAGTAACACCAAACTCTCGTCAGTAATACTGTAGTACTAAATAAATAGTTAATTAGAAGTTGATCATTACTAGTATGTTTTCAATTTACAAAATATTTTGTTCAACAAATCACAAATCAAAGTGTTTTACATTTATCCATACAATTGTATATTTCTAGATTATTTTTAACACATTAAACAGCATTGTAACAGAAGACAATGCTATCTACAGACATCCCTGTTAAAATAACATTGAATCATCATCTACTAATCTTACACAATGAGCTTTACACATTAAGACTAAGCATTACCCTAACCCATAACAGTCAGACAACAATTTTGACCACGGTGTCCATCTCCAATCTCCTGTTAAATCTCCATTTCCAATCTGTTGTTCACTAGCTACTGTGAATGGAGGGAGCGGATGGCGAGACAGAGGAGTGGTTGGTTGAGGACAGGCAGACAGAGGCCCTAACGGGTCTTATTAAGACATCTCAGAGTTAGACTAACGGGATTATCAGCCATTCAGCGCAGCCCAGCAGCCAGAAACCACGCCCCTCCATGGCCTTCACCTCGCCAGACCGTAGTCCCATAATCCCACGCTTTACAGAGAGGCTGAAGCGCTAAATTACCTTAATTAGGTTGGTTGCTCTCTACGCTGGCCTTATCTGGGACCTGACATGGCTTAGGCTGGGTCTCAAATGGCACCCTATTGCCTATATAGTGCACTACTTAGAGCCATAGGGCTCTGGTCAAAAGTAGTACACTATAAAGGGAATAGGGTGCCATTTGGGATGCACATTTACTTATAAGGCCAAACAGGACATTTTATGTAGGTTGTAGGCCTAAACCCCACAAAGCAACTGGTTGTTTTAGCCTTCCCTGTGTATCTGATAGGGAAGTGGTGAGACCCATTTGTGACTATCATGACGGTGGCCATTG